ATACTTAATAATATACTCTTCACTAATTTAAAGCTGTTTAGGACTGGATATAGGACGAATGATTTGTGTTCTTTCTGTAAACAGGAGCCGGAAACGATTAACCATCTCTTTTGTTGCTGTCCTTATTCATTCTCTTTCCGGAAAAAGTTTGAACTATCACTATTTGCTTTTGAGGAAACAACAAGTTCAATTAGGATATTTTGATTGGGGATTTAAGAACTGAATCCCTTGCTAAATTACCTAATACTTATTGGGGAAATTTACTTATGGAGTTGCAGAAGGAATGAAGTACTTCCGAACATAGATAGTTTTAAAGTTAGGGTCGACATGAAGTATGGAAATTCAAAGTGGAGGACGAAGGCCTGTCTCATGTGAAGAAGGTCATTCAACAATTTTATTGGTTCATACTAGAATTTTTACAAGATTAATTTTGATATTGAAAGGAGCCCACGACTATGAGGCCATGGGCTCCTGATATTGATGCGTAGTCTTTACTCACGGTGCCTCTTATATTGAAAATATTCTAAATTGTTATAAATCCGAACTCTAATTAAACTTTCTTACCAAACGAGTAGCGTAGAAGCCGTACATAGCCAAGTAATTTTCTTTTATGATAATATTCAATATATAATTGTTGTTCCTTTCGTTCTTACTTATCTTTTATTTTACTTTGTTTCATTGTATTGACTGTTTTGGTGCTGAAATCTTTATGTCGAAGATAAAGTCAACGAAGTTGTTGTTATTATTACTCATAAATGTTTTGGTTTTAATTGAGGACAAAGTTATTTAGCAACGCCCTAAAACTGTACAAAAATGATTAGAAATTCTTTTTTTTGGTTTTACAATTTACATATTTTCAAATAATATCAAATAAGGGAAGACGGTAACAAAAAAATGTTGTTTTTTGGGTAACTTTTAAGCAACTTTCATCACAAAAAGGAGGTGGGGGAGCAAACCTGAAGTCTGAAGTGACGTGATTTGCCAGGTGATTTAATTTAGTAGTTAAATGAAGACAGTAGAGACCGTTCCGCGATGGTAAGACTAGTACAACTACGACAACTACGAGAACGAGATGCATAAACCAGCATCATTTCGGCAGGGAAAAAAGGTTATAGTCGAGAGATTTTACGAGATTTATGAGATTTAGCGAGAATGGGGTCGTAGTTGCGGCAGGTTATCAAATATTTGAAGTTGTACCATTTTGCGATCGGGAGAGGGCCCTTAACCTCCTTCAATAAAATTAACCCTGTTAACTTTCATAGTAAAAAAAGTAACATTAACTTTTACGGGGTGGCAATATTTTGAGAATACGAGAAAAAAATTAAAGTTACGTCACGTCCTCTTAGTCGCGGTCCCCGTCCTCCAGTCTAATGGTCTCTATAGTGACGTCTAGTTTTAAAACAATGCTTTCTTTTGATTCACAGAGCCAGTATGTACCACATTACAACCTCTCGCAAACTGCAGGAAGCTGTACAGTTTTGAAACTTGAGCTGAATAAAATCCGAGACTAATCGAACTGCACTTCACTACGCAAGTACAATTTCACTCAATGCAGGAGCCAGCCTAGTCCCCAGGCGTTTTCGGCTCAGTCATTCCTGGACTCTACCATGAACTGTGATGTCACCTAGAGATACTCGCCGAAAACGGAACGGCGTTCTCTCGCTTGCTCTCTCCCAGACTTCGCGTGGATAACGGATCAAGAGAGAACGCCTAGGGACTAGGTTCTGCGGGGGCCATAGTGACTCCGTCTCGACCGCCACAGTATGGAAGGCTACAAGTCCTCTTGCAACTGTTGCCAGCTAGAGGACGTTGAGCTTTTCAATTGTGCTGAAACGCCCGAACGGGGAAACCCGAATGACCAACTTTGTGGAGATTAAGACCTACAAGTGTCGACCTGCCAGATGCATCTCCGTGCCGGACAAGAGTGGAATGTTAGAGACTAATCCGGAACGCCAGGTTGTTGAATCCAGTAAACAACAAAATGTTCGCAAGCGGCTTAGTTAATTAGAAAAAAAGGGGGGAAATACATGTAACCATAGGTACTTACCATTTAAGTGGGAAAACCGGATATTACGAATGGAAAATGAAGAAATTCGTGCCTTTCTATCTGGAAAACTTCAGAAAATACGGGCCTTCCTTTGAGAGAATCATTCACTTTTATGCTCTCTTCGGTCTCTGTAACTATTCTGGTTATATTTTCTAGCGTTGCTTTAGCCCGCAAGGCCAAATTTAATCATTGATAGTTAAAGCACGATATTTTCAACAGAATGGTATAAATGGTATGCACCTGCTCAGGTTCTTAGCGATGGTAGCTACTTCACTGACGATGAAAGAAACCACTTTCTGTTATTCTGGGATTATTATCCGGCAACCTTATGTAAGGCTATAATCTACGTAATTCTGACTTTATGAGTCCTAGATTTAACACGATAGCTTTTGGTAAACATTTTATAAAATATCTTGGTCCGTATCTATGGCGTAAAATACCAATAGTCTTAAGAACGTGAAATTGATAAATTTAAAAGAAAAATTAGGAAAATTGATTTAGCCGGTCACGTGACGGAAGAAAAATGTCGGTCGGAGTGCACTTTATGTAGCTCTTAAATCTTTCTTGCTTTGTATCTATGAATTATTTATTTATTTGTTTATTAATTTTCCTTTTTAACGGTAATATTTGATTTCATTGCTGTACATATATATCTTTTTATTTAACAGTGTCCTAATTAGCTTCATAGCTAAAGTACTTGACACTTAAATTAAGTTTATTATTATTATTATTATTATTATTTAGAGAGGACGATTAAAAAGGAAACTGGTAACGGGTTGATGATGGTTTAGTTAGAAATGTTAAAGATGGGCGAGAGGGTCTTTTAGATTAAGGCAAGAAAAATATATATCGATTTTGGCTAGTAGCCATCTTGAATTTGGGCAAAGGGGTCAACCTATGATTTAGGCTCAAAATTTCATATTACTTCGTTGTTTGTTTAATGTTCAAATACGGGATCCAAAAAAGCGTAGAAATGATGTTTGGAGATGTTTTGGATAGGTAAGAATTCCTTCTAACAAGTGCTTCATAATAATAGATTTTACCTTATCGCCATCTTAGATTTTTCCAAAGCGTTTAAGGCCAATAATTTGCTTTTCCTTTTTTGTTTTTAGCCAAATAGGTCTGGAAAATGTAGACATATTAAATTCTGCAAGTAGAATACTGCAATGCTGATCGTACTAGGTGAAAATTAACTCTGGAAAATGTCTTCAGTGATGTTTCAGACAGATACTGCTAGAAGGCTTCCTATTTATAAAGAGAATGATTTTGCCTATGCTGCGTCTTGGATTTTTCCAAACGGCCGGGTTAGCCCATGATTTCGGGGAAAATATTCTCGTCCCTTTTCATTATTTTTAGTCGAAATTGGCTTACAAATGATGTTTGGATATGCTTTAGATAGGTACGAAAGCCTGTCCTCCTAGACCATCTTTTAGGCAAGTGCGGCTTTCCGTTTTGCCTAATAGTGAATTTTTTGCAAAGGGGTTAACCAATGATTACGGGTAAAAATAAGAAATTCCCTCTATATTTAGTCTGAAATTCTGCCAACTCTCCAATGTTGAAGATGGGGTTGATGATGATGATGATGATGATTATGATGATGATGGCTGTATGTTTTGTTCAAATTTACATAAACGTTCCGGGGGGTAGGGGGGTACTCCGGATTTCAAGTGACGGGGATGATCGAATGGGGACAAAAATCAAAACCCAACAAAATCCTTAAGGCTTCCTACAACCCCCCCTAAAATCCCTGGACTTAAAAATAACCCCCCAAAAAATCCCACGCCGAATTTCCGAGCCTTAGATGGAACAACAACTCCTAACATTGTTGCGCTAATAATGTTGCGTGTCTTGCCTCCTTGTTGCAGTGGTATGCAAACGGTGCAACAACTCCCAACAACACGCAATAACATGCAACAGGGTGAGCAATCGGGCGTAGGAGCCGATTACTCGGCTCCTCACGGACCAGGAGCCGATGCAACATGTAACATCCTGAAAAACGTTGGGGGTTGTTTCTACTTGTTGGCCAGCAATGTTGCGTCCGTTTGCACTTTGCACGGGGCTTTCGAATTGACAAGCAATAAACTCTCTGCCAAAAGGTAGACGTGTCAGGACCCCCTCTAGGAAAAAGAACACCTGTGGTTCGATTCTGGTAAGCGAACACTTAATATTCGCTTTTGGGGAGGTCGCTTACGGGAAGTTCGAATCAGTACTTGTGTGCGATTATCGGAGACGAAACGAAGAGCGGAAGCCAAGTACATATTCAAGGATATACAATTCAATGATTCAAGAAGATTACATGAGCTAAGCCTAAGGTCAACTGATTTACCGTTCTCTCACATCAGGATATATAGGTCGAACGCGGTTGCTAAGTAAGAGGATCAAGACTTGCATGTTAGATAGTTTGACAGAAGAAGTAGGGTTGTTCCAAGGTATGGGAAGAAGAGAGACCCTAGGCTAGCCTGCTTAACAGGCGTTATTTTGTTTCGCGTTTTTCAGGCGTGCGAAGGCAAGGACGTGGCTGGTGTGGAGCGCGAGACACGCGCGACGTCGCGCGCGTCTAGTGCTCCTTGCTTGCTTTGTGTCGCGCTTACCTTCGCCAGCTAAAAAAACGCGAAAAAAAGGTCTGTTCTGCAGGCTACCCTAGCCGGGGACGAAATTGGACCTCCGGCTCTACCAGCTCAGATTACTCTGCCTCGCGCGAGCCAATAACTGAACGATGAATAAATAACCACATCATACTGCAAAAATCGTCTTTATTCCTCTCAATTAAGAATAGCTCTCGTTATAAATCACTCTTTGTTGTTACAATAAAATTTATATCAGTTAAATAACCAATTTAAATCACTTAAGTACAATACAAGATGGTAACATCTTAGAAGATTTTAATAGCGTGATAAGTAATGGTAATAGGACTTCGTGTCGTACAATTCAGGGAGCAATCGCGCGAGTAATTTCAAATACGCGCTCCCATTTGAAATTACGAGGCCAATTACCCCTAAATTGTACTACACGAAGTCTTATTACCAATTAATTATGTCAATAACAAAATGCGAGAATTTCAGTCTTGGAATATTTATTAATGTAAATATAAGTCATTGGACCAGTTAGTTTAATCCACTTTTTTTCCAGTTGAAGCTGGATAGCTTACCTGGTCACTATTTTTTCATTGATTTTGATTGGTTATCACGTGCTATGTAGTCAAATTTCATTGGCTAGTGGCATTTGCCACTTGATTTTCATTGGTTGTTTAACTGTCTGATTTGACCTATCCGATTACATGCTCCTGGTAATCGGACAATTATGGAGTTACAATAGCAAAGTTAAGCTATAAATATTGGCTGTTAAGAACCAATCAGATTCAAGCATTTTGTTATTGACACAATTACAACTCTAATAACTCTTAATACAGCAATGTTCCATTCATTTTCTATTATCGTACAATCATTATATTAATTTCCTAGCTGTTAAGTTATTTGGCGTTTATCTCAACAAAGCATTTTGGAACCTTGGACCGGACTAGGGAAGCTGCTATGCCAAGGTAAAACGTATCTGAGGCGTGTTCACGCTATACAGGATAGCTTTTAACCCTTTAAGTCCCAATAGTGACCAACATCAAGTTTCTCCTAACAATATCCATATGTTGCCAAGAGAAATGGTTATGAGAGTTAATAAAATGACCAGTAAAGAGGAAATGCTTTGATCTGTTATCAAGCTCTCTCAACTAATTCTTTAAAGAAATGTATTAAGATCAGTATGGAGAATTTATATGTGGATATTGGGGCTTAAAGGGTTAAGCTGGCAGGATAACCACACTGGATAAGGGCTTCGGTTCACACACAAGGACGGTGATTTGGGCGCGATTTCCGTGACCGAGTAAAGCTGCGCGCGCCGATCGCTTAACCCTTCAAACCCAAGGATCAAAACTGAAATTCTCATTTGTTGCCCCTATTCATTTCCTATAGAAGTAGTGGGGAGAAGTCGATAAAATATCAAGCAAATTCATCTTGTGTGATCATATCCTTAATTCTCATGTCCACTCAGTTTTACAAAGCATCGACATTACACGGAGAAATTTGATGCTGATCACTCTTGGAGCTTAAAGGGTTAAGAGGAGAGTCACACATCGATAGGTGTTCATATTACAACGAATAGCTTTTTCTGTTGGCACCAAAAGCTAATCGGCAGTTGTTTAACAGGAGCCTATATGGGCTTCTGTGTGTAACAATGAGCTACAACGTATCTCGAATGTATAACAAGGGCCATATGGGCTTCTCTCAATAACAATAAGCTACTGCCGTGTGGCACGAAATTTTTGCGGTAGTTCATTTTTGCGATAAGGAAAGATTGGTTTTTCTTGCTGGGAATTAATTTTTGCGATTTTCAGAAAGTACCCAGTACCCAGCAATGATAATATTTTCGTTTTTATTGAGTACGAGCAATAAAAACGCACATTTTCAAACAATAAACCAGTATTTCGTTGTATACCGTTTTGTTTCCGAATGAAAGAGACAAGTGATTAAACAGACATGATTTCTTAGTACTGTATTATTGTGTAGCGAATGTAAGTTAGAAAATTTGTTTACGGTAATTTTTATTTACGGGAACTTATTTTTGCGGATCGCTGGAAAAATCACAAAAATTAGAACCCGCAAAAATTTCGTGCCACACGGTATTAAGACTATTAAGAAACTCGCGAGAAGCCTTCGTTTAAAAGGAACCAGGTAACGGCTGCATGAAGCAACTTTCGATAAAGTGGGAAATTTTTGCAAACGTTTCAACGAATTCATGTTCTCTCCGTCAAGGTGGATAAATTGACATAGTATATTATCCTGCTCCATAAGTGTTTCCTATTGGCCCTTTAGCGGTGGGGCGAGAGACTGGGCCATGGGGATGTTTCGAGGACATGATCGCTTCTTTTATTGGCTATTACGTAACTGGGTCAAGATTTGTTTCCCAAACCACTCTCAGCTCAGTTCTACGACCTGGGCCCAGTTGCTCGAAGCACGGTTAGCGTTAACCAGCGTTTAGTACCTTGACAACGTATTGGTTTTGATGCTGCTTAACCAATGGTTAAAGCTAACCATGCTTTGAGCAACTCAGCCCTGAAGTATGAAAATTTGCACGCAAACTACCCTGTTTGTATTTTTTTTCTTAATCCGGCGGCCGAAATAATGTTCAATACGCTTTTCAATATAATTTTAAAAACAAAACCGGGCAATACGGAAAGAAGAAGAAGAAAAAAAAGAACAAAGAAGGGACCTTCACGACCATATTCGCGGCGGGTCTCACGTCCAGTTTCTTACTCCGCCCCACAGAGGTTAACTTGAGTGACGCTAATAAAAAAACGAGTTTCGCGTGGGTTATTGCGACATACGAATTTCCCGTAACAGTCCTAGCCTTCCGCGCAGATGTTCTTAGGGGTTCGTCACGAGTTCCTGGAACGCGTGAAGAACCCCTAAGAACGTCTGCATGGGAGGCTACCCCAGAAGTCATTGTGAAAGTTGACTCCGTCCAGTCTCCTCTCTAAAGTGGCGAATATTGCAAGTATACCAACAATACCAACACCTACCCAGACTCGAGCCAATCCTCAAAATGGCTCGTCTAAACGTCAACGTAAAAGAAATAATCAGAATAAGGGAAACGGTTGCAGAAAATTTGCACTTTATCTTAAGTTGCTTTAGCAACCGGGTCCAGCAGTCCAATCCAATCAAAATGGCAGCGGATCCATGACATCATTTTCAAGAAGGCCCTGGCTCTAAGTTGCTTTGCTGTTTTAAGCCGTTTGTAGGGTCGTTAAGCTTTAACAAACTCTTGTGGCCCATCAATAGACGGCTACGAAAAGACAACGCTCACTATTTACAATTATCAGGCACCGCTCGTAATAAAAATACAGAAAAAATTATAACAAATTCTACTTCCTGAAGAAAACAATTCAACCAAGCTCCCAGGCCCCCACTAGCAGGAGACTGGGGAGTGGTTGTCAAAATTTTGCGGAGGACCTGGAGAGAGTGAAAATCCATTTTTATGTAGACAGCCGTTATTACTGAATTATTCCACAGCTGTAGCCGCTACAAGCATTGGGAAATTTTGATTTCTGGCGAAAAACCATGTCAAAATATGTCCTATACGGCAGTAATTCAGAGTAAAAAATGCAGACCACTTAACTTGGAATCGAAAATTCTGTCGACCAAATTGACCAACAAATTATTATTTTTTTTTGTTAGCCAGTATTGTATACTTAAGCGAGCAAAAATATTTTACGGATCCCTTTATTGATTACTGCAAAAAAAATTTATACCATCGCCCGGCTAGAAGAGATTGTTTTCGTTGATTTTCAGAAAACATCACAGAAAAGGAAACTAGTTTACGCACATTGAAATCCGGGACAACCTTGCTAGAGTTACAGTAGCCTGAAAAAACAGCCGACATTTGGCGACGCTACCACTGGTTTCCCCGCCAATGACGTCAGAGAAACAAGCGCAGAAATTCCATACTGTTTAGGGGTTTTAGTGAGTTTAAGAGTGAAATAACATTAAACGCCATGCTTTATAAAATAACCTAAAAATAACAAGCAGCTTAGTTTTTTCGACCTATCAATTAAAAAATAAATCAGGTAACAGCTTATAGCTTGCAAAAAACATAAAGAACAAAATGACTATAACAAGGCAATATGGGCTAACATGTATGCCGCCATGCACGAACCGTGAAAGTAGATTCATATGCCTGCAATCCTTGCCAAATTATGCAGTGGGTTTGTGGGAAGTGGGCTGAAAAGGAACAACAATGAAAACTTAGTAAAACATGAACAAAGATATTTGCGCTCGTTCTCAGCGTTTGTTGAATATAATCAATTAAGTGTAGGGCTTGTAAATTTACAGTTAGCATTTTAATACTAGTAATGTACAGGTTACTAGTGTACTTTTAAATTTTTTTTAAAATTTGTATACACGTACACGTTTTAACGAGAACTTTGGTGCTCCTGGGTGTTACGTGTCTAAATATAGAATTGATTTGATCCGCGGGAAGGCCAAGGGGGAGGGTTACTGCCATATATGGGCTATATAAGGCCGTGTGCGTTTTCAATAAATTTCGAAAAACGCTCTGGAAAGTGGATCAAAACGAAAACGCATACAAATCGTATCAGCGTGGCAGGTCGAAAACGCATCAAAATGAAAAAGATGACCGAAAATATCACAGGTGCGTGTGTTTGTAGAATGCACACAGAGTTCAACTTACCTCACAACATGTAATTCTATCGTTTTGAAAACGGATTAGTGGAAAGGGCTCTAGAATAGGGTACTAATAATTTTCCAAGAAACTTATCAGTGGTTTGATGATTTTAGTCTAGACTAGGGAAACCGCGGGAATTGACACTCGGAAGTTAACAAGTTATTCCTTAGCTAACCAACCTTTTCTGTTTATTAGCAGGAGCCTTTAAAAGTTCTTTATATTGATCACAGCGGATGAAACGTCGATAGCTGTCCGACTTCATCAACTGGAAAATGTGATCCTAGGAATGGAAATAATAAAAAGATGTAGAACAGTGTTGCTGGTTATTTTTGTTAAAAATCAGATGACATTTCTTTGTTTGAATGACTTGCGAATGACAGAAATGTGATGGTGAATTTGGAGCCAGGTAAATACATCAGAAAGATGATTTTTCAGTCAGTGACTTAGGCGGTTCGGAAGAACGTCCAAGAACGTCCTCGTGGAATGCTACTCACAGGACAGGCTTTAATACCGGGGCATCTGAATAGGCGGGAAAAAACCTAGTCTGCTACACAGCCGTTTTTAGTGTCGTCACGCAACGCTCGTCCCCACTAATAGTGGGGAGGAGCGTTGCGTGACGACACTGAAAACGGCTGTGTAGCAGACTAGAAAAAACCAAGAACAGTCCAGTCCATGTGTAGTCTGCAAAACAGGCGTTAGCTTTCCGCAATTTTCAGGCGAGCGAAGGCAAGCGGGAAGCGAACGAGGAGCGCACAACACGCGCCGTGGGGGAAGGCTCTACGCCATGTTCGTACTTTGTTCGCCTGAAAAACGCAAAAAAAGCGCCCGTTCTCCATAGAACACCAGTTAATTCATCACAAGCGCTTTTAAAATATCCGATTTTGTGCAATACCTGGGCTGCGTCAAACATGTATCGTCCAGGATGTTTCAAGTTTACTTCCACTTCTTCTCTGGTCTTGCAATCCACGTTTATTGGCGACGTTGCACTTTCAGATAAATATTCACTGAAGAAAATAAATAAATAAATAAATAAATAAACAGAGTGATTTTAGTCCTTTCTTCAAATATTTCGTCTTACGAATTGTTTTTAAGCCATCATGTCTAAAAATGAATAGTTCATAGGGTGTTTCACAAAATGGTTTAACGAGGAAGACGGATTATTACAGTTGGTTAGTGGGCAGCCTGTGCAAGAGGTTCCGAGTTCCATCTCAAGTGAGACAACGGATTCCTTTTTCTCTTACTTTCCGTTGAGCTTAAAAGTAGCTTTTAATACCCGTAAAAAAGAGCAGGGACTACTTACTTAAATATTTCTTGGGCTTTACTTGGGACGTTTTTCACTGGCGTCGCTTTCAGTTGTTCACAAGCTAGCCAGAATCTAAAATGGCAATCAGAATATAGTAACGAAATGCATTAGCTTACAGTACAGTATATTTGCACAATGTAAATTTAAATGTTTCTTTAAGCCAGATTTATCACTTTTAATAAAAGGTTTATTCGGTCAGTGTATAGAGACATGAAACCGTTAGATCTGGTAGTGACGTAATCACTCTGTGCAGTTAAGAATAAAATAACATAAGGTAAAAAAGGTAAAGGCGCACACGAGCTAAAGACCCAAAAGGCCAGAGCTTATCTCGGTTTCTTTAGCATGAAGCTTGCCTAGTAGTATTGCCACCCCCCATTCCCCTTTGACGGGATGTTGATCCATCGCAGGGTTACCCGCCAGCAGCATGTCGCCGGTACCCATTTACACACCTGGGTGAAGAGAGACAAGTGGCAGGGCTTTCACTAAGATAACTGATTTCAAGTTGCCAGGTAAATACAACAAGTGGGCGGGGAATTAAGCAGTTAGGGATTTCTTTTGGTTCTATTTTCTTCTATTTTCCTATGGAAGTAGCCGGGGGTTATACTCATGGAAGGCGGGGGAAACCCCCGGTCCCCGGCCCTTAATGACAGCCTTGAAGTGGAGTAAAGTTCCTTGTCTTCCTTCCTTGTTCCTTGCTTGAACCGGTTACCCCCGACCTCCAGATCCGGAGTTCGAGGTGTTAAGCGCTCCTTCACACACGCCTCCACAAATAAATAAATAATAAATAAATGAATAAATAAATAAATAAATAAATATAAGGCTTCATGGATTGATGAATAAAAACAATTTACGATTTGCTCTGGTTCAACTTCTGATTGGTTGACAAAGCGACACGAGACCTTTTCGGCGAATCATAAAGCAGAAAACTTAAAAACCTCAAACTTTAACTATTTGACAGTCAAACTGACAGCACCTTACGGGGAAAAATCTTTATACTAACAAGAAAGAGCAAAGTTCTCACCCTAGATTTTCAGCGCTTATTTCCTTCTCCAAAAACCGTGTAAAGTGTCTTCTTCCCAGAGGATCAGCGAGTAGTTCAGATAAAGAAAATCCCCACATCTTAACACGACGAGGAGGTACATAATGCCTGAAAATATTGTGCAAAGCGAGGTAAATAATGGGTCCGTGGTGGAGTAATCTTTCAAAATACTTTTAAAAAAGAAACTATTAGTCTCGCCCGTCTCGTCATGCAACGCTCCTCCCCAACAGGAGAGTTGCGTGACGAGACAAAAACAGCTGCGAGGGAGACTAAGAAACTGTCGACTTATAGTCCAATGAAAACCGTGCTAGTATAACAAGAAATTTAGCGAAAAGATGTCAGCACTTTAAACAATCACTCTTTTAATAGAAGCATTAGAAAGGGTTATAATATTTTGAAGTCATATGTGAGAAAGAAGCCCCAAGGGGTACCCCACAAAACTTTATACGGGGAGGCTCCACCCAGGGGTAAAACCCTTAGCCTTTCAAATACCATTCTTGACAGAACAGGCACCCTATTAGTAGACCTTTTACTAACAAATGGTACCCCCCTTCACATATTCACACACTAGGTTAGAACGCTGCATCACTTTTAACTGCTGTAAGCGCACCGTCTTTTAAATATGAATAGATCACTAAACCAGGAAGTTCTTCTTGTCTTTTTCATAACCATATAATGCGCCTGTTAGCACTGTTAGGTCCTTTCACAGACCACAATGACAGATTTCCTACCCTTTCATATATTTCAAGTAATGAAATCCATACCCTTTCATATTTCTGGAACCTAAAAAGTGGTTCTCCTTTCGGGTGGGGCCTCCCCGTACGGGTCCAAATAGGGTGTATCCCCAGGGAGAAAAAGCAGTTGTAACGAGAAACATTATCCCTAGGGTTTACAAACACGATACACGAACCTCCTTAGTCCTAATAAGAAACATCATGGCATCAGCTGAAAAAGGTTTCCCTTTCAGGTGAAGCCTCCCCGTATGGGTCATAATAGGGACTACTACCCGGGGGAAAAAGCAATTGTAAAACGAAACATTATCCCTAGGGTTTACATACACGATAACTGAACCTCGTTTGTTCTAATAAGGATCATCATGTCATCAGCTTCTTGGTTAACACAGAACAAAGATAGAATTATTTGATTTTGAAGGCGTGAATAAATCTGTTGATACATAACTGACGTACAAACTTTTATCCTGTTCCCAAAGAGTAACATCATCTGTAATCCATGGATTTGAAGGGTCTGGTGTACAGATGAAGGCATCATATTCAGCATATTGCTCACATCTTTGAACAAAACTGCCAACAAAAGATAGAAAAGCAAAAGTATTGGGAATACAGCTCATGCATGAGTGTTGCACGGGAGATGGTTGAGCTCCAATCCCTTTTCATCAAAGTTCCTGCTCGTTCCCCACCCTGTTCAAATCCCCTTTCTCTACAGTTCCCATCCCTTTCTCTCTCAATTCCCTCCCACTTCTCCAGTTCCCTCCCTTTCACCCTTCAGTTAATACCTTCTTTCTCCGCCAGTTCTCATTTTCTCTTCTATTTCAAGCCCCTTACTCTCTCATTCCCGCCCTTTCTCTGCCCATATCACTACGGTTTTGGGAATAGGGATGCCCAAACCACGGGGATGTTCATATCACTATAACACCACCAGTTTCTACCCTCTCCTTTCTTAGTGTATACCTTTCTATTTCCCAGCTCCCTCTCATCTTTATCCTACTTTGTTTTCTTTTATTCTCACAGTTACCACCCCGCCCCCTCCCCATCTCCTTGTTTATTTCTTAGGCACTGATATGGTTGCTACTGCCATGGGTTTTTGACATTCCCTGTCTTTTCCGAGAAAAAAATAAACGTTTCCTGATCAACTGAATTAAAAATTTCACAAATCAGTCCTGATAATGGCCTCCAAACTCCCGTCTAAGCCGTCTCTCTTTACCCATTCATTTCTGCATTCAGCAAGTCACAAATTGATAACGTAATGTGGTTAAAGGATTGATTTTCTTGGAAACCCAGCATCAGCTTATAGTTCGATTTCATTAAATAATATTTTACTTCTATTCCATTCACTAAAATGGCAGTAAATAAGTATCCTTTCCCCGACTCAAGGTGAAATTTCCTGACCTTGAAGAATTTGTTCCCTGACCATTTCTGGCCACAAATTGTTTTTGGCAATAATTACAAAAGTGTTACCTACCTTTCTGAAGCCTGTGAAGTCTTCATTCGCCTTTTATGGAACTGCTCCCGTAATTCTTTCACCTTAAGTAAAAAAAAGGTAATAAAATTTACCAATTAAGCATACAATACAGAATGCATTGATCAACTTGTTTTCGCACTGGACAGCTGAAATACAATCCTGAACAAAACACCTTGGGAGAGTGTGCTATTACCTGTGAACTCAGGATGCCTTCATAATGAAGTGTTATGTTAATTTTTACAAAATTAATTAATGCCTTGCAATTTTCACCCCCATGCTCAGTACGATGTTGGAACATTTAAGGTGTTTTGATACCGTCTTTTGGAGACCATGCCCATATTTTTCAATCGCCTTAAACTTTTCACGACAAGGTGACTCTGGATTTTCAGTGAAAGGTCTCGATTGCACGAAATTCGTCTTTAACTGATTTCACGGTTTTTTTTTTACCACTGTCATGGTAATATCGATTTAACTTAAAACTACATTTCAACAAACTTTAAAAGCCACTTACTGGTGAATATCTTATGGCAATCGGATGAGGATAGAATCACATTAGAGCAGATGGAAAAATATCGGTATGGTCTATAAAATACTATATGGAAACACCTTAAGCTGATTCATGGGTTCCAACACTGTATGTGGGTCGGGGGGAGGGTTGGGCATAGTGTAATAATAATATAAACCCTTTCTAGACCCGGCCCCAACAAGTGTCACGTGCTTTTCACACGTGCACCGGTTATATTTTTTCCCGCGCTTGGAAACCGGGCGCATGTTTCTCGCCAAATCCTGAGTATTGAGAAATGTGCAACAAATGCAAATTTGACCCAAGACTTTTGTCCATGATTGTACTTTGCCCATATCGATGTTAAAGATTTCTACCTCCTCTTTAATTCCATCCAAAGCAGATGAGGAAGACAATGAATCATTATTCCAAAAACGGTCCTGAAACAGACAAGCAGAAATTATTACATTGCTTTATGTTAATATTTTGTGCCTGTTTCCAGGGCTCAAAGCCAACTTGAATTCCTGATTGTTCTTGCTCGGGGCCTTGTTTGCTTGTCTTAGTTCATGATTTTACTTGCCTGGATCCTTACCCATTGGGGAAAGTGAGCTTAAAGGGTTACTTGCCCAGGAGGAAAATCTACTCAATGATCTTATGATAGAAGTGGAAAAAAATTAGAAGGAATGCTAACGGACAATTTGAAATAATAATGATCACAATTATCGCAATTATTAGTGATGGTGAAAAAGAAGGAGACGATGATGATGAGGATGATGATAATTAACAATTATTCGTCCAGCTCAAATGGGCTATTAGAGAGTTTTAGATCCGAGTTTACCGCGAAACCTCTAACCGTTGGAGGTCACGTGACAAGTCTTTCGCGTCACGTTTGAGGTTTACGACGTGCATTTTCAACGTGGGGAGGTATGTTTTCACGTATGTCATTTACCTGAAAGCTTTTAACGTATAATTCTTGTTGTATCTCACGTAATGATAGAAAAATCTTGTGGAACAAGTCTTGATCCATTAGCAGAGGCACAAATTCGGGCAAAATGGCTAAATTTGATAAATCCTATTGGATCTTGAAAACAAGGGCTATTCACGGCTGCTGATTCAAAATGGCGGCCGTAAATTTGCAAAAAGAACTCATTTAAGAATTTACAGCTCTTTGCTGCTAGATAACCCAGTGTTACCGTAAATTTCTTTTATTTTCACTGATTGATATTTCTTCTATTTCTAAATGGAAAAATAAACCTAGAATGGCTTCTTTAATTCACCACCAATCTAAATCGAATAATGTTTGATCATCGAACCGCAAACGGGTAATGGCAAACCGCGGTTAGAGGTTTGTGGTAAACTCGGATCTAAAACTCTCTATTGACTCAGAGGCCATGAGGGCGAGAGGAATAACTGTTTTAGTAAAATTCAACTAGCTGGTCAAAAATATCAAGACAAAACAACTTTAGCCGGTTAAAGCTAGACTTTAATCCATTTTTTGCCGCCAAAAAGGCAGCGCTTTTTGCTATTAGTGGGCTATAACATTCAGCCTAGTGGTAGCTCAACCAATCAGAATGCAGCATTGATAATAGACCACTAGTTCGATTTTACTAATGATGATGATGATGATGATGATGATGATAATTATGTTCACTGCACATGATGCTTTATACCTTTCTCTTTCTTTTTGGAGATGTATCAGCTGCTTTGCAGGCCTTTTTAATATCAATTTCAGTTACAGACACACAACCTGGCTAAAAGAAAACAAAAATAGAACTGTAAATATATAGGGAGATGAAGTTCTGCAGAGTGTAATCACCCAGGGGTATAATCAACATGAAGACTCAGCTGAAGCAAAAAGAAATTTCAAATTTGAAATTAAGAAGGTAAAAACATAAAAAAGACTGATTTTTTTGGCTTTGCTATGCTTCCTTGGGTTAGCATGTGAGTCAAAATAGCCGGTAGAATTACGTGAAAAGAAATTGGTGAGTTACAATGATGAAAAAAATTGTATCATGGTCCTTATGGTGAAAGCAATCTGTATCATAACCGGGAAAAATGTCTCATTTCAGCCCTGGGGACTGCTTACTAGTGGCAGATGCATAAGCAGAGCTCCATGGCTAAGAAAATTTGGTTATCTATAGATCTGAGAAATTTTGGTGGTCACCGTACCTTCCTCCGACCATCCGTCTGAACCACAGGGTAACCAATATGAAAACCAATATGAAATCTCATACTTTCTAGCTAGTATGGAAACCCTATTGCACATCCCTATTGTGGTCAATTGACAGCTGTCAAAACAGGGTATCCCCTGATCAGTATCATATGACCATATTGCTGACCCGTTGAGGTTATGTGTTTTTTTAAACTTATCCGCTAACAAGTTTATTAATGGGAGCTTCGCTTTTAGTCTTGGGTTAATCTATGTATTATATTGAAGATTTTACAGAATATGATTTACATTTTCGTGGCAATCATGTTTTACATAATGTAATCAGGTGAAGCTGGTACATGTAATAAGATATCTTACTGGTGGTCTATGGACATTCCAAAATGCTCGTTCTTGACTGTCTAGTATTTGTCTCTCCATTTTGTCTCTCTTCTTATCAACTCTGCCAGATAACAAACATATTAACCCTTTAAGTCCTGATAGTGACCAAGATCAATTTTCTCCTAACAATATCCATATGTTACCAAGAGAAATGGTTATGAGAGTTAATAAAATGATCACCTAAGAGAAAATGCTTTGATCTTCTACCAAATTCTCTCAACTTATTCCTTAAGGAAATGTATAAAGAACAGTTTGGAGAATTTGTATGTGGATATTGGGGCTTAAAGGGTTAATGTTTTCAGCAATTTTTTTTACAACGCAATTAACAGTCTAACCTCCAATAAGGGACCACCCAAAATGACAAGATTTAGTGGTTACTTTCAGGAACTTGTCATTTATGAGAGGCTGCAAAAGTTAAAAGTAACTGACACTTTCAGTAAGGTAATACGCATACGTAGATGTACATTTACTGTGCTTTGACTGAAAACCGATTTGTTGTATTTTGGATACTAGGGTGGTCACTTGAGCTGGTTGAACTGGTTTCCTGTGTTCATACTTTGAATAGCGGAACGTTCGTGGATAAATGGTATTATTAAAAACTGAATCATTGGATAACGCAATTCTAGAGTGCTGATTAGCTTAGCCATCATTTATGAGTCATTATACCTTGCTCTCCAAATATGGTAACTGTATGCATCTACTCACAATTAAAAACAAGCTGAAAATCGGATGTTTTTATACATAGGTCCAGAAGAATTCTCGATATTTTGTGGGCGTTTCTAATAAAACCATAGGGAACTTAAGAACCATGACGAAGTTCACGACGACGGCGTCTGTTAACTGGGAAAAGACTGGAACAGGAACATCAGTTTCGGTGGGAAAAAGGAAACTTAAGATGCAGTTGGTCGGCAGGTCGACGACGATGGCACTGAATGTAAACACAAATGTAAAACTGTGATGTTCGTTCGCAACAAAGTTTTTCGACGTCTTGTAAAACAATGCAGGATCTTATTTTTTAAGCCGTACATCTAACTTCATTGACTATGAAGAACTTTTGTGTTGTCTGACCTTTTTGAGTGGGAAAACACCTGCTTTCCTTACGGAGATTATTCAACTTTCAACCTGAATGAGATGACCGAGTCTGAGTGTCTGTCAGAGTTTAGATTTGGAAAAAAAGACATTCTGATGTGATAGCTGTTTTCCACATAAAGTTTATTTCCTTTATATTTAAGATATATGATTTGTCTTACCTAAATACGTACAAATATATTTATCACTTACGAGTTCGCTCGCTCGGCCTCCACAGCTGTTGTCATTCTTCGAAGTAAAATCAATTCATTAGTCGAATTTTCAATCAACATCGTTTGTTAGGAGAAAAAAGGAACGATACCTGGATGTACGAGCATAAGAAAATGCAAAGGACTTCAAAAATCGCTTAAAACAGTTAATTTATAGCTACAGAAGCTTGTGGATTGCAGGATGAAGTGATTCTACTGTTTCATGGCGTCGTCGATGACACCACAATGACGAAATTTACTGGTCACGCTTGCGCAGTAAACTGTAACTCACTTCCGATCGTTGTCGACAAAGTCGTCGTCGTGGTTCGTAAGTTCCCTAATTATTCCACTTGCACTTGTTGGATATGAGAAGATTGTAGCCAACTCAGCACTACGTGCCTCATTGGCTCTATACCATCTCAAATCCAACAGGTACTCGTGGAATAATAAATTGTTAACCCTTCAGGTCCCAAGAGTGACCAACATCAATTTTCTCCTAACAACATCAACGGATCATCAAGAGTAAAGGTTATGAGAATTACTCAATTGATTACCAAAGGGAGAATGCTTTGATCTTCAACCAAATTCTCTCAACTGTTCTTAAAAGAAATGGGTGGAGATCAGTCTGGAGAATTTGTATGCGGATCTTTTGGGGCTTAAAGGGTTAAATAGTCACCTTGCTTGTGCCTCGGCTTGCATGAATATAAATTCCCATTTCCTGGACAGCGTTCTTTGTAGCTTGGCTAGATTTTCCTGCAAATGAAAGGAAGTCAATATTAAGAGCCTCATCAGGGCGGAAAGAAAGTCAGTTTTACAGCTTGCCATTCAGGCAAGTTGCAGCTAGCATGTACTAGCCCAAGAGTCATTTTGATTCGCCCGAAAAAAATTTTTTGATGAGCAGGATTGATTACAGTTCTTCTGTATGTGAGTTTGCCCCAAAATTTATTTGCCCATCAGGCAAATTAAGACCAGAATTCACTAGCCCAATAGCAAAATCCACTAGTCCCAGGCTATCGGACACAACTTTCTTTGCATGCTGCTTGTAACGAAAGAAAAATAACCACAATTACAGAAAAACACTACATGTAATACAAAAAATGACAAGAACAGAACTTGTAATACTAGATTAATTTACGTCTCACTCACCGCTTCATAGTCATCCAATTCTAATCTTGATTTATTTTGCATAGTTCTTTTACACAAATAGACCGCTAGAAATTAAAAAAACAGAGTTTATCAAAAAGAATGATTGTGGTGATCAATGTGGGTAAAATATTTTAAAACATACCTTTGACTACATGTACTATTGATGCTACAGGAGCCAAAATATAGGCTAAAAGCAGGGCCACTTAAAATCATTTATTAATCTGCTGCTGTGACCTCATTTCCTCACTGTACTGGCTTATTTATGACAAGTATGTCAAATAGGCAGATTGGCCACAAAGTTTGATGACACAATTAAGTTAAACAAACTGAGTTGCCTAATGTAATTTACAATAATAGTGCTCTTAAGAGAACAATATAGACTATGCAGCTTGTAGTCACATGATCTGCTTATGCAACAATTATGGAATACAACAATACCACAAATAGAAACCAAAGAGCACGCAGAAATCTGCTACAGAGCCAACGTTAAAGTGAAAGTCAGATACGATTTTATGGGTGCTGGAATGGAGTATATGGAAAAAATTGCTGAGTCACAATGCATGTGGTCCAGCAATTTTTTTCAAGCAGCACAAGCACAGCACTTCTTTTACTTTTAAATATATCAATATTTGAGGTGGCCTCTGTTATAAGCCTGGGGTGGTTTCTTGAGGTCTCCTCGCCAAAACAAATCTAATAATAATGATGATGATAATGATCTCTGGTATATTTAGGGTTGTATACAATAATAAAATTATTAATAGTTATTTTGGCATGTTCGGCAGATCCCAAACTGCCTAGCCTGCAGAGCAGGCGTTTTTTAACGAAAACTTGGAGGTACATTGATCGTGGCCGCCATCTTGAAAAGCAACGAAAAAGACTAAGGGGGAGGAGCGGTGGAAGGGGGGAGGGGTGGGGAGGAGAGAGGAGAGTATTTTTCCTCCCCTCCCCTATTTTAAACCCATCTACCTCTCCCTTAAAAACACTTTTGACTCGTCCCAACTCTCTGGTAGTATTAACGTACAAGATGGCAGGACAACGTCATCCCTGAAAACAATTCATGGATTCCGCTCCAACACACGCCTGCTTTGTAGGCTACAAGCTGCCAAGGACCTATTTCAGTTGTGAAATGGGCTGTGATCTTTAAGTATATTATAATACCTTACCATAATCTACACTCTCTGGTTCCCAATTGTTTGATAGCCAAAAGAATGGTGTCTAAAATAAGAACAGGATAGTTAGGGTAGAATGCATTATTTAAGCAAAATAAAAAATATTCTTGGAAAATATTTAAAAGATCTTTCGTCAGTCAAAGTTCAACACACCTGAAATCTGTAATATGAAGCATCGTCTTTAACCATTAAATGGTGATCAGTAATTGAAAAAATATATCCATAAGCCGCCAAAAGAGAAGCCAAATGAACTGCGGCACCTGTGTGAGAATTAAAGCAGTCAGTTAAAATGTTGTTGAGTTGATATTAATTTAGTTCATTTGTAAAATTTTCAGGGGTAGGCGTGGCAAGGGTACTTTGCATTGTACCACACACATGTACCCTTCGAAGTGACACATACCCTGTACAGTGGCGGATCTAGTGGAGGGGCCTAGAAGGCTCGCCTCTGCCCCTACCCCTGCCCCTGCCCCCTTATTTTTAGGCCAACAAAAAATTTTTTTGGAGACCGCCCCCCTTATCTGAAGGTCTAGATCCGCCACTGCTGTATGCAGTCAAAGTTCTTCCAAGAGGTTGCAATTTAAGCCAGTTCCTCATAACCAAGAATGGCTCTCCCACAAAGTATTTGAGAACACTATGAAACAATATAGGATGGTTGCAAAAACTTAGTAGAAGCAATATAATTATTATTCCTTGCTTTTACAACATGTAGTTTTCTTAGCCAGTCCTTGTTTGTGTCTCTGTTCATTTCTTTTTGTAATAAAGGTATTCACGAACAAGGTTAATTTACTACCTCTGTCTTCAATCGAAAGATTAGCCATGACCCAGTCGACAAGCTCACTACCTGCAAAATGAAAATGAACTTTATTCAGTTGCCCCATCAAAACATGAATAGGGAGCTTAAGCAACGATAAAGGCAACATCAACAAGAATGGCAAAAAAGCAATAGGTTTAGATTGACAAAACAACAACTCTACATGTGCATCGTGCTTTTTTGTACATTTCTTTGCCATCACTGCACGGCTACGGCATGCAGTGACAGCAAAGAATGTACAAAAAAATGTGATGCACATGCAAAGTTGTTGTTTTGCTTGGTCAAGCTATTACTTTTTTGACGTTCTCATTGTCGTTGCAGTCATGGCATCTTAAACTCCCTATTATTAATTTTACGATACCTTGTGATCAGTCACAAACAAAATTTTCTCGATGCAAGTTGAAATTTTCCTGCTGATACCATCTGAAACGTTTATCTGATTCATTGGTAGTTCCTTTGTTTCTGGTTAGGAAAGTAGGAAATGAAAGTTCCTCTTGCACATAAAACGTTGGTGAACGAAATGGACAAATATGGTGAGACAAAAGCTGTCGTGTACGAACTAATGAAAAGAACTCAGGAGACGCTGTTCCGATTTGGCACAATAATACAAAGCATTTTCTGTGCCCAATCAGGAGCCAACATTTGCTCGACCATTTGGAAATGGTCTGGTGAGAGTCAGTACCCAAGGGTTCTTCCGCCCGTACCTGAATACAGTGAAACCTCTATTAAGCGGACACCTTCAGGACCTTCCCAAGTGTCTGCTTAATAGAGGGTGTCCGCTTAATAGAGGTTTGTAAAAATTGTGCAACGTTTGTTAACGATTAACATTAACATTAACGGTTACTCTGTATTGTGATTAAGTTCCATGTTGTTGAGGAAACTAAGGAAGCTGTGCTGTACTTTGCGCATGACTTTTAGGTGAACTTTGATCGCGGATGACAATAATACTGCCGGATATCCGTCTAATCTACAGTTCATTGACAGCCAAATGTATTGATTTATCTTTATTAATCAACTACAGAACATATTTCAAGGAAGTAATCCAATACTACCATTGTCAATTCAGTCCGCTGTCCGCTTAATAGAGGTTTTTAACAATAGAAATTAGCCAATTATCATTAATTCAAGTGTCTGCGTCCGCTTAATGGAGGTGTCCGCTGAATAGAGGTTCGTTATAAAGGGAAATATGAGACGTTAATTTCGGGACCCCGCCTAGTGTCTGCTTAATAGAGGGTGTCCGCTTAATAGAGGTTTCACTGTACTTTCATCGTGCCTTTTCTCCCAGCCCAACTGACTGTCCCTGGGTCTTCGAGGATGGCAGGGTTCATACAAAACAATGCAACCACTTTTTAAGGACTTTTCAAGGACCACATTTGATTTTCAAGCACCACCTACACAAATGCAATTTCACAGATGGTACAAAAATGCACATTCCCAGTCCATATAGTAACAGGACTTTAAGGTGACTCGATCCAGTTATTTTGTGAGGGTACCATCCTACTTTGAAGCTCTCTGGTATCCCCACCTTTCCTTTGATAGTAAGTCAAACATATAGCATGGATAACATGTAGATCAATCTACAATATAATATAAAATTTTTGCCGTTCCGAGTAAATGTCACGTGGTTGTAGTGCCACGCCTCTTTGGAGTCTGAGTCGAAATTCTACTGTTGCTGGCATTTTTTTGTGAAAATCTTTCGGCTACATATAGTGCACATTAGTGCCTTGGGTTGAACAGAGTTTCACCAAAATCGCAAAGACCCAATGCGAGAAATTCAGCGGTTTGCAAATTTAGGTCATAATTTATGTGAAAATGATAAGCAAATTTTACACGATTAGGTCTAATAAACTGTGACATTTATCTCTTTATTCTGGAGTTCTTTATTCTTGGTTTTCACTCACGTGAGGAAGCAGAAATAAAAACGGAAACCTTTTAATACAGAAAGTCTAGAATCTGGGAAATGAAAGAAGATAAATATACAAAAAGCCTTGCCAAGAATCAAGTCTAAGCAACAGTTCATATGCGAGATATTCGGAAAAACGTTTTACCCAAATTTATAAAGCTTTGTATGGAGACGCCCTGTTTGTGTCCCTTTCAGGGGAACAAATATGGCCGCCGGAAACCAACAGAAACATCTGTTTTTGAGTTTTGCTACTTATGCATGAATTCTTTGCTTGAGGAACTTATAAAGATTAATATTATTCTAATACAAGGAATGTTTAGAGAGCAAAATCTCTAAGAATCCGTAATGTTTTTAACCCACAAGAGAGCTTTCCCAGCCGCCAGCTAAATGACGCGTCACGCAAAAGCCTGGAAATTCAGGCATCCTGTATCGCAAAACAGAGAACCCTTTTGAACCGAAAATTTGTTTCTATGAAGGTCTTAAGCTGCTCTAATATCACACGAAAGTAGAAACTCAGAGGAAGCTGTATTTTCTTAGTCTGAATTATGGTGACGTCATGTGAAAACCGAGAATAACATATGGGTCCTTGCAAGTCAGCAAAAAGCTTTAGGGCCTTTTAATTGCGCGTGATGTAAACATATACAAATTATAGTTTTGGTTATTTGTTGACATTTGTCAGCGTTTAAGAGTCCTTCTCACGACAAAAGCATTTTCTTAAAAATTCGTAGTTTTTTTTTTCCTTCAAATTTTTTCAGGGCCACAACTAATATTATTAACTAGCTACCCAGATTCTGAATTTCATGGTCATTGAAAAACTGTGACATTAAATTCTATAAGCCCAAACTTGATTAAACATTGAAGATTTTTATTATACATTGTTTTGAAGAAAATAATGACAAACACACCGTCGCAATGAACCTAAATTGATGTGGTTATTGGAAATCATGCATTGTGTGCGCAACCTACAGATTAGTCAGTTATTTGCTAGCAGATAACTGACTAATCTATAGGTTGACCTGATTTCCAAAATTAGCTGTAGGCTGTTAGCCAGCGGGAAGACAGATAGTGAGTACAATGTATAATAATTATGCTTATTGCCTCCTGATCAAACATGTTTGATATCTTCTTCTAATAGAGCATTTTGTGTATGGGTAAGGGAACTTAAAGTAATGACTTCAGTACAGAATTGATCTAACACAGCAATATCCTCGCCCCTTTATCCCTTTAGGTCACAAGAGTGGCCAACATCAATTTTCTCCTTACAACATCAGCGGGTGAACAAGAGTAAAGGTTATGAGAATTACTAAATTGATTATCAAAGGGAGAATGCTTTGATTGTAAACCAAATTCTCTCAACTATTCTTGAAAGAAATGAATGGAGATCAGTCTGGAGAATTTGTATGTGGATCTCGGGGCTTAAAGGGTTATGCTTTCCACTTTAATTTATTTTACTATCCTTGAGGAAGACAGCTGTAATGTAAAACTCACCTAACAAAACAGACCATGCGCACATGTAGGAATTACAAGAAGGCTGCATTCAGGTAGATCCCTAGACATGCATTATTCCAAAACAGCTCCTAAGCTCTTATATACAAAGGAACCTCAGTCTCCACAATGGCCACCTTGGGCACAAGAAAGTGGTTGTTGTAGAGAGGTTTAAACAAGAGTCAATGTATGAAATATCCACCAAAAAAGTGGCTGTTGTAGAAAGGAGGCCGTTGTGGAGAGGTGCAGGCCATAAGAGGTTCGACTGTAATATATAAACATACAGATTTCAAATGCTCTTCTGTTCCACTCTAACCCATGAAAATTACAACTCCAATTTACAAAATATTCATTATTTTGTTTAACTACTAGTATTTTTAAACTGCTGTTCACCTGTAAAAACACTAGGAATTCTGGACATGAAACTCTTTACAGTTCTAATGGGCACTCCAGTCTTTTCATCCTGCATTTGATGGATAAGTTTCTCCATCTGTGAAAAAAGAAAAGACTTCTCACATCAGTCTCTGTTAGTAGTGTATTAACTCTTAAGACTGCAGCGCTTTAATTCAACAACGACAAAAACAAAACACATTGAAGAGATTAAACACATGAAAAACCTTTAATGCCTAATTATTGCTATTATGAAGACAACATGCCATTACCCGGCTTTAAATATTTGATCAACTTTAATTCCAAAATTTTCACAACTGAAAGGTCATTGAGAGATTTACACATTTAAGCCCCTCCAACAAAAGACTTGATTTACCACGTCTTCAACTTTTGACACTGGTTTTTCAAGTAACTATGAAGGTAAAAATAATCTGAAAAGGATCAGTGGTCTAAGAGGATCTGTGCAATTTAAGCTATATAGTTAAACAGTATGCCATGTACGCTATTGTACATTTTTTTTACAATTATAAATTATAAATTTTTTTATGGTTATGTGGTTTATTTATGGTTCATGTTTCACATTTGCAAAAGTTTGGTTTTCCCTTAGGCATTGTCAATCCCTCCATAAGTGCAGCCCCAGTCAAAATGGTTCGACAGCACACCATTTTGTCCCCCTCCAACCCCAATCCCTCCTCACTGGGGGTACTAACAAGAAAATAATACGGGGAGGCTAGAGCCCTGAGGTCTGACCCCTCACCCCTTTATTTACCATTTTTGGCAGAAAAGGTACCCCTATCGTATACTTTTTACTGACGAATGGTACCCCTTTCAAATACTAAGTAGAACTTTGCATCCACCTTATAGCTTTAATAATTTGCTGTAATTAAATGCACTCTCTTTAGATTTTGAATAAATCACAAAACCAGAACGTTTTCTTAACTTTTTCACAGCCGCAAAATGCATCTGTTCTCCCTTTTGACCCTTTTTACTGACCGAAATGACACATTTCCCTACCCTTCGATATACTTCAACAAGTGAAATCCCTACTCTTTCGTATACAGCTGTACCTGAAGCCTGAAAAAGCCTCTATTAGCTCAGGCAGAGCCTCCCCATATGGGCTATTAAAGGGAGTTCCCCAGCCCCCTGGGATTTTGCCATCCTGCCCACTGTTGTGAGGCATTTTGACTGGGCTATGAGTAGAACCTAACAAAGGTAATACAACTTGATATATTGACAAAGTCAGGCAAGGACTGGAAAAAGTGTTCCCTTTTAAGTGAGAATGCAGATTGGTATAAAACTCTGGTAAATTTAGGTTTTTTTCGCATTGAGTCTTATGGTAAATACCTATAGGATGTAAAAGTACATGTAGATGTTTTGAGTGCTAAAGGCAATTCCAGGGCCCAGTTGTTCAAAGGCCAATTAGCGCTTAACACGAGGTTAAATTTAACCCTGGTTTCTTTTTCTTGTGTTCAAAACATTTTCTCGCATAATTTTCTCCGTTACTTTTAGAGCTTCCAATCATCAACTTGCAGACAAAAAGAATGCAAACTGAAATGCTTTTTAAGCTTTCAAATCTGAATTCAAATCTTGCACTAACCCTTGGTTATCTTAACCCAGCTTTAACCCAGCCTCAGCCCAGGCTTTCACTTTCTCACCCCAGCCTTTTTCCCCAGAGGTAGGAGGCTCAAAATTCCAAGTAGCCATTTTTTTACAGGTTACCTGTACTTAATGAGAACCCTGTAAAATACACACGTACCCCTTCCCTAATCCAACATTTTGCACTAATTAGTCAGAAGCATTTACTACAGTTGAGGTAGGATGGTAGGTGTGTATTCAAAGAATCCTATTGATTGAAGTGAGTTCTATATCAGTTCCATGTGTTTTTATACTACTAAAAACCTGGTGGCAAAAAATGTCAAATTACAAAAAGAAATATTAAGTCACAAAACCAACATTTCCTCATGGAGCAAACATAACATTTGGGTTTAATGATTAATTATTTTATTACCATGTGGTTCAGCACATGTACAGCTGGGAGATCCAAAACAATTATAATGAACTTTTGTTTATAATTTTTTTCATGCACATACACATCTGTGCATACTTAATGAAAAGGAGACACAAAACAAAACACAGCTGTACATATAAGGTAAGTAATTATTACTTAATGACCCCTCAAAAGAAAACCTATGAAGAAAAGTACTGATTGCAATAAGAGACTACTAGAAACCTGTAGTCTAACAGCTGTACTTAACCCCTTATTGGTGCCAATGCTGACCAACAACAACTTTCACCTAACAATATCCATACATTATGAAGACATAAAGTTATGAGAATTAATAAAATGATCACCAAAGAGAAAATGCCATGATCTTTTATCAAATTCTCTCAACCAATTCTTAAAGGAAACGTAGAAAGATCAGTTTGGAGAATTTGTTTGTGGATATTTGGGCTTAAAAAGTTAACAAGTGGTTTTTAACAGAACTGTGCCCTGACTTTTAGCATTGCTCAGGATCTGGTTATTCATCTCTTTACAACTCAAAAACGTCAATGACTACAAGATTAGTGGTGAACTATATTTGATAAGGGATGCTAAAACCACTTAAGGCAAAATAAGCAATGCCAGCTGGTGCATTTATTCTTGCTGATGACAGCACTGAATAAATTTAGACTATATTGCCAGTAATCTCTTAACCATAGTCATTCCCTAGCTTGGGTGGAAGCGGGGGAGGTGGGGGGTAGGACCTTCATATGAAAGAGATGGGGGTAAGGTTGATGAACGTGCAAAGTTAAATTATTAAAGAAAACCAATTGCTGTTATAATGTGTTGAAGACAGCATTCAATTTCAACATTTTTCATGCAACTTAAATTTATTACTACAGCTCTTAATTGGTTTTGGGAAGGTTGCATGTTTTTTTATTTTCTATTTTTAACTTGTCATGTAAATAAAAGATTGCACTTTAAAAAATATCCTGTATGAATTTCAGAACACTAGAATCAGTCACGTTAATTTCTACTTATGTTATTTGTATGGTTGCACTGCACATTTAATGTCAAATAAATTAATGCCTGCTCCTGATGAAACAGTGGCTGTAAAGCACCTTGTCACTTAAAGATAACTGCACCATTGTACATGCTTATTTCTACTAAAATCAACAAAAAAGTGAAAATATCATTCCACCAGCCTTTTTGAACATCTTCTCTGGTGATATAAGCCCGCGAAAACAGATGTATTTCCAGTCGTAGCTCCTCTCCACCCAAAAAGCAACTGTTAAAGTGGAAAGAAGTGACAATCGGACGGAAATACTGTATGGCTACGTTTGCAGGGTAATATATTAAGTGACAGCTGATTAAAGCCAAATTTGAACAGATAACTGCTGTGCCTTTCCAAAAAATCACAAAAGAAAAAAAAAATAACATGCCAATAAAAAGATGTACAATGCAAAGCTGCTGCAGCATTGGTAAATGACATTTTATTAGTTTCACAGGTGATGGAATTTGTCATGTTGCTGGCAGGAGTTTAAAGGTAAGTTTAACAATATGTCCGCTCAAACAATACAGTCAGATAAAAATCTTACCGGTAAATCTAAAATTTTAGTGGCGAGATCAAAGTCGAAAGACATTGCTGCCCATGTAGCTGGCCTTAATGTTGTGATAGAAGTCATGCCAGAGTTGCATCATCAATGTATTTACTTGGTTTTATTGCCAAAACAGTACATTGATTGAGAGAAATATTACAAACTATTTGACGTCAAAATTGGTCACATACATGGTACACTACCGACATCTTTTTTGCTCTGCAGAAACATAAGTGGGACTAGAAATCCATCCATATTTCACTTTAATTTGGTTAACAACACTTTTGTTTTGTTGATGTTTGGAAATGTGGGTAAATCAAGGCATCATTCTCATGGCTAAAATTTCTTTTCCTGGTCACTCAAAATGCACTGAAACGCCTTTTCAGGAACCTTCAACAACGGCGACGGCTATGAAAACGTCACTTAAAAGTGAATTAGCTCAGCCTCAGATTTTATTGCGCTTATTCTATCTTGCTTAATTCGACAAACGCTCGCAAATGTTTTTGGAGTTGAATTCTTAAGTTTGGGAAAAGAAAAAGAAAGTTGTTGTCTTGTGTTCCCGTCCTCGACAAAACATAAAATGAGGCACTTTCACGTTGTAGTCATGCAACGATGGCTAAGAAATGTACCAAAAAGTATGATGCACATGCAAACTTGTGGTTTTGCCAATCTAAACCTATTGCTTCTTTGCCATTCTCGTTGCTGTCGCCGTCGTCGTTACTTAAGCTCCCTAATAAGGGTGTACAGTGGTATGACAGATGTGAGTGACCTCCTCAGAGAACATAAGTATTTTTACATTCAAGTTTTAAAAAATCAAAACTGGAAATTTAATTTTTTGACTCCTCTTAAAGTGGAGGAAGCAAGGAAAAACTTAACAAAGAAGTAGTGTGTACAGTCTTTACAACTGGTTTCCAAAATTCTCGCTTCAGCATTAATACTCTTGCAAACTAACAACTTTGTTTCCATGGCTCATGCACACCGAAGGAAACAATTTTCCTTTTTCCAGCATCTAATATTCATCCTGGTAATTAATTTAACCAGCTAGTTAGTCATGCATCAGTGAACTGAAGGCTCTTGGGCAAATTAAACTAAGAAATTTCACTGAAACTAATTTCGCCTAAACAATGAAAAAACAATGGCTATCTTGTCATTGATCTAAACTGTTCAGCTGATTTAATTATGTTAATAAACAAAAGCAACAAAGCACAGATCGGTAAAACATCAATAACTTATTACCATTAATCCCAGTTCCAATATGTAGACAGAGATCAGATATATCCTACAAAATATAGTGTGCAACTTTCAAGGCAAGGACAGACAAAATACTGCGCTTGAGGAATTTTTAAACGTTCTAACTTGCGTAATAAGTTTATTGGAATGTATATCGCCAAATATCGAGCAAGCATTTTTTAATTAAACGTCGAGAAAGTTACTGATACAACGCAACTTTCAGTTTCAAATCGGTTTTTCGCTGTGAAAGGTGGTTCGAATTGCTCATAGCTAAGCGTTAAATGGTTTAATCTGAGACATTCGCTCAGTTTCACGGTAGATGCCGTGCTATAAATAGCTCGTTGGTATATTTCATCTGACATCAAGGGGTTTGTTAGCTTTCAAGGAGAGACGTTCTCATCTATTAGAGAAGAGTCGAGTATCGCTACGCAAATTTCAAACCGAAAAAGTAAAGATTAAATTTTGACCGCGGACGTCTATAGATTCTTTCTTACATATTATATTGAACACCTTAAGAAGAAATAAACTTGGGAGCTTGAAGAAAACCGAAAAAGGCTTGTCTATGCGCAGAACGCTGACGGATACGTCAAAATACTTAAGCTTAAGCTTATTGCTCAATATAAACGCGAAGACTGAATTGAAGACATTTATCACAGAACGAGAAAAGAAGTTGACCTGGGTATTGCGAAACCTGCAGGTTGTGAAATGTTTTCCACTCTTTTTTATGCTATGAATGTAACTTGGACACCGAAATATTCATAACCCCAGGCCTTACAACGAAACCCATCTCGATCTTCTTGTCTTGCGCAATTCTGAGATGGTAACCGCAAGAATTCCTTTATTCAGAAATACTGTCATTGAAAAGGGTAGTTATAATACAAAAACGCTCGTTGGCCAGCTCTTTCAGAAAGGAAAAAAATTTAAAAGGTTTAACACTGGAGTCCGCTAAGAAGGATGTGCTAAAGAAAACGAATATCACACAGGACTTTCGTTTACGGCTTCACGCCAAAAACTTAAACCTTTTTCAACGGTGGTGAGCTACAGCAAAAATCAATTATTTAGGCATTGAGTTAAATTCCCACATCTCTACCTCGATTGCTACGGAAAAAAAAATACTTTCCCCACCTTTCTACATACTGCTGCATGATGCGGCTCGTCGTTTAAGACACCATCGGACGAAGCCTCGCCTTGCATTTTTGATTTCCAACCACATAAAGAAGATCATTCATTCCAAGCCGGTTTTAAATTGCTTCGGGGGATCTCACTTAGCTTTCCACATGCCACAGCTTAGTTCTATAGGGTTTTAAGCGTAACAAATGAGCCGGGATGCCTAACGAAAGTGCGTCTCTGTATTGACAAGAATTCCCTCGCTCCGATGCGGGTCGTCGTTGACCAATGGCCACATCCGTATGCAAAGAGCTCTCTGTCAAAACAAACACGTCTCTGAATTGAGCAATTCACTTTCGAAACTGGAAGCCTTGAATTATTCGTGAAACAATTTTTTCCAAAAAATTCCGAGAGCCATACAGAACGACAAGCACAAACCGAGGGTAGCAGTGAGAGAAGATTTGTTTACGAATGAGCTCGAATGGGCACTTGGGAAATTTACTCACTCGCGCGCGCGCGCGCGGGCGCGCAAAATAAATTTCCCGAGGGGCATACCCCAGGGTCCCAATTTTTTTTTTTTAGTGATTTCATTTTTCTAGCGTAAGCTTAATGGACCATGACACCGTTGCGACGACCAGATCCTAGAAACTTGATGTCGAAATAAAATATGTCATGGCATGAAACACCCGTCTGAAGGAAACCAAGACAGCGACAGGACCCAACCTCGTTCCCGGGGTCTCTCATCTTCCCGCCCAAGCCCTGGGAACGAGGTTGCGACAGGACCCTTTACCAGACGGGTCCGACGACTCCAGAAAATGGAAAAGGTTGAAAAAGTAATAATTCTGAACAAGAAAATAAAGAACTCTGCACGTGCAGTACACTTCTTCTGCATATTTCTTTGCCGTCCCTACACGAGCACGACTTGAAAATGCCCAATTTCACTTTCTATGCAACCCGAGCGGGTTATGTTCTGTGCCAAAATTCGTCCCGTGCTAAATCTAACGAACACAGTCACAGACGTGCAGTCGACAAAACAACAGGAGCCCATCAATTCTGAACACTTTCTCTCTCACTCTAACCATTCTCATACTGACATGCAGTCAGATGCAGTGAATCCCACTAGAGAAAATTCATTCTTCACGTGACTCAGTTCGTGAGGCCAGGGAGTCGCATTTGATAGATATTACCATGACTCTTGAACTTCACAGCCTAAACCGCCGTGACGAATTATTGTAATCCATATCCTTATTATTTTTCCTTTCTAGTTTTTGTGTTGTACGTCATTTCCGCCTCTCCCTTTTATACAATTTTTATTGCGACATTCTCCATCTATATGAATTTTGTGATTCCTGCATAAGTTCAGTAAAATCTGTAAACCTGAAAAAGGCTGGAATGGCCAGCCGAAATATTGTTACCAAAAAACAATACACGTTGTTCTGAATCAGCTTTGTAGTAATATTGGTATAGTCATATTTGATTGACAGGAAACTTTAACTTTGCCATTCACAAGTAATAGACCTTTTTACCGATACGGT